TGTGTGCCCAGACCTTGATTGACAAGGAAGTTTTAACAGCGGCAATGGGGAAACGGAGAGAAAAGGGCAGGGCTTTGTACTAAAAGGGCTTTGAGCTCTGAGATACTGTGCTTAGTTATCTCCTTCAGAATGTTAATTATTTACCAAGATAATTGGGCAGGAGGGGAAAAAGAGAGGGGAGGTTATTAAAAAATTCCAACACTAACACGCTACAAAAACCTCATTTTCCAAGTTGCAGCTGGCATGAAAAGGATGTTGTGTGTAAAGGGGCCTGAGCGTGTATGTGTTTGGGGAGGGGGTGTGTGGGGGGGCTCCTTTTTAAGCCACCCATTTCCTAAACAGAGGGATCCCTTCAGACAAATGCAGCGGAAACATCAAAGGTCTTGCAAGAGTTTTCACTGGGGTTTCTAAACCGTGTCTGGTACTTTTTAATTAAAAAAGTTTATGGAGAGCTGTCTTTGTGACTGGAGCAGGCAACCTTAGGCCCTGTTGCTTGGGGAAGGAAATGTTAAAAGACTTGATAATGATTGCTGCTGCTAAGATGTCAGTTCAAGGACGTGAAAATTGCTGGCCAGTTAGGCAGGAACTGAGACTTGGAGTAGACTGATGGATGTCTCTCCTGCTTCAGTGTAGTATGATGTAGGCTGTTCTATATGTGGAAGTCTCCTACACCCTTTGAATTAGTGTCCAAAAATTTGTAATACCGCATACTTGTTTGAAGTGCATAGTCAGAAAGATAGCTGAAGCTGTTTCGTTTTGCTACCAGTTAATACAGTTTTTTAGTCTCTGTACTAGGTACCAATCCACAGACTTCCCAGTGGAGATCAGGGTTCCTTTGAGTTTAGTAGCGCTCTACTGTTCTGGTAATTGCTTTGCTGGATCAGGTTCAAAGCCCATCTGCTCCAGTATCTTGACTGTGCTGATGGTGGCAACAAAGGTTCAAGAAACTCAAGAGCAGGCAGCCTTCCCTGCTGAAAAGGGGCAGGGTTTTTTTGTTTGTTCAAGAAGAAAAATCTAGTATTATTGTTTTGACAGGATAAATACAGACCATTAAACAACATTTTCTATCTCCCTTAACGTTTTCTGAGCTATGACAATACTTACCTTTAACACCATGATGATTTTGGTTCCTTATTAATCTCTTTGTATAAGGTCCTCTGAAGAAAAAAAAAAAAGTTTCAGCTAGTTCTGCTTTATGCAGTATTATACTGGCATGTTAAAAGAATTCCAGTAATAAGATTGATATTGTTTTTCTTTCAGAATCCATGCTGATTAGACCATGTCATCTTAATCTTCTGCCTATCACCTTCAAACTGTTTTTAAAATACAAGCCTGTGCTTGCAGCACTGTCTGTTTTTTATGAGAAGCTTAGTAATTTTGAATCTCTTACTCTGCAGTTCCTTGAGAACACGTGGATGTACCATCTGGGCTTGGTGATGTAGTGCTTTTTAATTTATCACTTAGCTCCAGCACCAGTTTTTCCACTGCTTCAGTTTCTTTGAAGGTGTGGTGCCATACTATGATCATCGCTACAGTGGCAGAGCAGGTTTTATAGGTACTGACCCTCCTGACTTATCTGCAGTTGCTTTTACCATTCCTCAGTTAAACTACTGCAGCTGTGAGTGATGCAGTTTTACATTACGGTTTCTCTGGTATCCAGTGAAGGGCCAAATATGGTTAAGGGATTGGTGCATCTAATACACGGGGAGAGAGTGAGAGAGCTGGGATTGTTTAGCCTGGAGAAGAGAAGGTTCGGGGGGATCTTATCAATGTGTATAAATACTTGATGGGAAGGAGAAGAGAAGACAGACCTAGTCTCTTCTCAGTGGTGTGCATTGACAGGATGGGAGGAAATGGACACATTGAAATGCAGGAAAATCCATTTAAATATAAGAAAAAGCTTGCTTTTTTTTTCTTTTTCTTTTTTCTTTTTTCTTTTTCTTTTTTTTTTTTTTTTTTTACCATGAGGGTGGTCAAACAGTGGAACAGGTTGCACAAGCAGGTTTTGGAGTCTCCATCCTTGGAGATATTCAAAACCTGACTGGACGTGGTCTTGAGCAACCAGCTCTAGCTGACCCTGTTCTGAATGAGTTTTGGACTAGATAGCCTCCAGAGGACCTTTCCAACCTCAACCAGCCTGTGGTTCTGTAGTGGCAATAGTATTATAAGATCTTCTTGCCTTTTTAGCCATTCAATCTTACCCCCCGCTATAGTTTGTTGCAGCTGAGATGAAACAGTTGCTTATCAGGCCAAGTTATAAAATAAACAAATGTAATAATCCATCCTTACCAGAAAAAGAGCTCCCCTTTGAAGAAGAAGAAAAAAAAAGGTGGGAGGAAGGGAACCAGTTCTATTTAGTGTATAGCTCCACAAAAAAAATACATCTGCACAATTTGGTGGGCTTTGCAGTGTGGGATAGAAGTGAGTGGAGTATGGTAACCTATGAAACCGTCTTTACTGACAAGGCTACTTGACATGAAACTGTGCCCTCAAACTACTGCATCTCTCGAAAGAAAAGATCAAGAACAAAGTTACTCTTTTCCCAGTCGTCTTAATGATAAAAGTGATCCAAATAAGCCATTTAAATTCTCTTTTTTAATTGGATTCCTTAATCTCTGTCTAATGGACCAACCAATTATTTTAGGGACTTCCTTTATCTGAACTTCTTATTGTAACTTTCTGCTGTTTTAATCTTTGAAATGTGTTTTAGCTCTCTGAATTCTCTCCCTACAACATCCTCAGCAGTAGCTTTTGTTGCTTACTATTGGCTTCACAAACGTTAGTTATCAAAGTCTGAAAGATCTTTGTTATATTTGAATTACAGCTAAATGACAGTATTTACCAGTTTCCTTTAATGCTTGCCTTCTTGCTTTCTTTTTTTATTTAGGGCTGTGTAGCATTTCTGAGACTCCATTTTTCCTTAAATAATATTTATTCAACAGCTGAGGATTTTACTTCATTTCCTCTGACTTCAAGGTCTTTAACCAGCATGCTTGATTTAGTTAACTCTCTCTTTTTAAAATACAGAATTTGTGTTGTTTCCTACCTTTTCATTCCCTGTGATGCTGAATTTTACTACATTGTGATCACTGTTATTTATTGGCTTATTTTCCGTTACAACTTTAATCTGATCCCGAATGTTACTTAGGAATAGGTTTTCTTGTATGCTTACAATTATTCGTGCAGGAATTCATCATTTGAGCTGCTGACAAATTACTTCTCAACAGTACAATTCCATTTAATCAGTTGGTATGTTGAACATCAAGTATAAGTTGTATTTTGTATTAATTTTATTCACAGAGAGGTAGTGAATAAAACCATTTAGCAGTGACATAACTATAATGATGGGAATAAAGCAGTGAAAGGTGATGGTGAGATGACCACTGTCAGTATAAGTTGTTTGGCTATATAGTTCAGATGCTTCATTGTTTTGAGTTGTTGCTTTTTAAATAATTAGAGAAAAACAAGCGACCTGCAGCAGGCAGTTGCCTCTGGTGCCTTACATCTGAGGAACCTGAGAGACATCGGTTGTCTTCTTATTCCTCCTATGGGATGTGTATGCATTTAAATATTGGGGAAACTAAAGCATAAAGCAGTATGGTAAATTCCAAACAGCTGGATTTAGAAACCAGGCCTCCTGACTAGAATTATACTTTAATCACTAGACAGTGTTTGTGTTTCCACTCCCCCCCCCCCCCCCCTGTTTTGCAGCAGGCATCTTGTCTCTGTGGAGAGGTAGTAAATTGTAGAGGGGCAAAAGCTGATTCTGGCTTTATTGCACTTCTAGGTTGCAGAAGGAAGAGTTTGTTCTCTTAGATTATGAGCTCATGGGAACTCTGAAGGTTTGTGTGTGTGTGTGTTTGACCACAAATTGCTTGTTGTTGTGAAGCAGGGAGGAAGTAGGGAGGAAGATAAGAGGTACAAGGTACTGTGGTGTGTTACTTTCTGGGGCCATTCTCGGTGAGATAGGCAGTGTCTTGCACCTTTCCACTGATGTGGTCAGCTGGGGCACTTTGGCACTGTGCTTTTATCCTGGGTCTTTCTAGATGGTGTCAGTACTTATGAGATCAGAGTCGAAGAAATCCAGTTGCCTGTAACATACTTCAATTTGATTCAGTGCTTCTTGAGCTATACGTATCTATTTATTTATTTATAAGTGTGCTACACAATGTAATTAAAGCACCCACTAAATGAATTAAGATTCAGCTAATTGACATCTCAAATAAGTCAATGAAGAATTGTCAAAAAACAAGCAGCTAGTGTTCTACTGGGATTAATTCTGGGCACACACTTCACTATTTTTATCTGATTTGAAGGTAAATATATAAAATCATAATTGATAACATTGCAGATGAAATAAAGATCATCAGAATGATGAATACTGGCCTCAAAAAGGCAGTCCTACGGTTACCTAGATCACATGATGAACTGAAAAATATATTTGAATATAGCAATTATTCAGACAAGTAGGAACTAGGAATTCAGACTAGACTTTCGAAAGGATAGACTGCCTCCTGGAAAGCTGTTGAAACCAGACAAATTCCAATTACAAACAGGATATAATTTTAACAGGATAATCTGGAATAGACTCCTGAGGGCATAGTGGGATTTTTCTTCTCTTCCTATCATCCACTCTGGTTTTGGAAGATGCTTAATCATACCCATGTTATTTGCTTAGCACTGCGGAATGTGAGTGAAATAAAATGGCTTGAGCTACGGCGGGCAGAGGAGAACAGATGACAGGTCATCAGCACAGTGAGCACTTGTTGTACAGCTCTCATTAGCTGTGTAGTGGAATTGTGCATACAGTTGTGCCTCATCTTAATTGGCATGCCCTGCGCTCTAGAAAAGTTTAGACTTTTCTGCGTTATAGATGGTTCAGTGACCTGATCTTAAGCTCTGTAAATTTGTCCATAGCTGTCTAACTTGTCTCCAGTGTCCGCAGCTGACTGTGGAAGCATCTACGACCAGTGATCTCTTCTTTTTCCCCTTTGCTGCAGGCTAAACTCTTTCCAGCTGCTGTCGTTCATTTTGGATCTGAGGAGTGCAGGGGTGAGTGAGCTTCCTCTCTTCTGTAGCAGCTGTGTAGCCAGCTGAAGTAGACCCAGAAGAATTAAATTATTTTCTTCAAATTTCTTCTAACAAAAGTAAAGCAGACCCTGAGAATGCTGATAAGTATTTCCATTCTGAATTGCTGAAAGCAAGCCTGATCCCACTGAAACTGGATTTGATCACTGGTTAGCTTGATCACAAACATAAAGCTAGTACCTTTCTTGTGAGATTTGTTAGGCTATGAAATAGGCAGTATCTACTATGGCAGTGGTAGAGGAATGACTCTCTAGAAGGAAATGCCGTTGTTCAAAATCTTAACAAGACAAGCGACTATGAAATGCCTTTACCGAACTCCTGTTGTAGTGGACTAACCAGAGATGGGAGAACAGATATGAATTTTTGATTTTCTGACACCTCTGGTTTATGCTTAGAATCACTGTTTCTCCCAAAGAGTAAAGAAAGCTTCACAGAATGGATTGAGATGCAGTGATCACTGAAAGAAAACGTCAAGATTTTGAGTTCTGAATTACGAACTAGGCACTTTGAGTTATGAAAGAAACTGGCATAATTTACAAGCATCTTGTTTGTCAGTTGGTGAAAGAAGATGCAGATTTATTGAAGTATATCGTAGGCATTTGCTGAGCCTAGAGCTACATGATTCTGTGGTGACTGATGTGTCTATCTTACCAAACAAGCCTTCAGATGTCATTGAGTTTCATTTTAAACAGATTGTTACCTGAAGTCGGACCTGCTGAGCTCTGCAGTTTCCCCTTCTGCAGCTGATGTATTAGTAGCCAGGTATGTGGGGACTGACTAGAGTTGCAAATGAGTGACTGCTTCAGGGAGGGAAAGCATGAAATGAGCCCGTCTTACTAGAAAGAAACATGATCTGAAGGTACTAGGACTTGAATTTCTCCTTCATGCAGTCGTGGTTCACAAACATGCTTGACTTTATAGCTTTGTGAGTCCCTCTTTGTAGAGCAGGATTTCAGTGACTAAATTCAGTAAATCCTAAGGCCTTTATCATGGGAAGGAAGAGCCTTTTCAATCCGACTTTGAAAGTGTAGAGGTGGTGGTATATGGGGCCTGTTAGGAAAAAATGAAGCTTAATTCTTGTTGCTTATTTTTTTCCCCAGATGTTTGTCCAAATCAGTAGTTCCTTCTGCTTTGTCATCTTTAAAATCAGCAGTTCCATCCCTAGCTGAACCAGAAGGGGGAAGTGACAAAAAGACTGATGAGCAACCAGAACCAGCAAGAGTACAGCAAGCTCCACAGCTGATGAGTAGGGCCCCTGGGAAGATACCCAAATGGCTGAAGCTGCCAGGTATCATATGAGATGAGAGGAGAGCTCTTCACCTAGTGAACTCCCCAGGAAGGCAGGCTCCTCTGTGCTAAACACGTTGGATGTTGTGACTGTTCTTAGATGTCACTGGGAGGCTTGCAGGGCATGGGCTTGAATGCTTGTCAGTCGCAAATCAGTTTGTGACTTGAAACTCCTCCTTAACTGGAAAAGTATCTGAATACTGGTTCTGTGCAGTGCTGAGTCTGTCTAATCCATATATTTGAAATCATTTTAAAGTTCTGGGATCTTAATTACGCCAGTGTAGTTCAAATACTAACAGGCATGATGTTCTACCTATGAAGGGCCCTTTTCATCTGTTAAACCTCTTGTCAGTTATTTTTCTTTTGCTGGTGTAATCCATGGTAGTATTTTCCTTTCTCTCAATTTTTGAGTTGATTTTTGTTCTTTTTAATCTTTACTGCAAAAAGTAGTAATTTTCCATAGTTAAGATTGCAACTAAGTTTCCATTATGAATTTGTTCTTGGTTTATCCTGATCAGAAAACTGTGGCCTTGTTTTCAGTCTCAAAACCAATAGTTGATGTGTGTTCTTACATGAGAACTTGCACAAAATATGAAGTAACTAGTAAAAGGATTCCTGAATTAAATGATTGTCAGTATTCACTTTTTGATGCAGTGGTAAAGAAGAAAAAAAGCTAAATCAATCCCCTAAACTGCAGTAAAAGTGGGAAGTATTATGTAGAATTTCATGGCTAACAATGACAAATGTTAACTTCTTGAATGAGAATTGTAATATTTGATTCTTGCAAGACACCGTGGGGTCATCAGTTCCAGCAGGCATAGCATAACGTATGAAATGATTGCTGGAATGCTGCAGCCAGTGGGTTGGTTTGCTTCCCTACTGTGACTGATCTGCTTTAGACCATCTCTGGGATACTGCTGCAGATCATGTGGGAAACGGTAAAGGCAGTATGTTTGAAGCATTGCACTTATGAGTAGAGAACTTTCTTTCCCCAGTATTAGTATTTAGTTAAAAAAAAAAAGCAAAAAAACAAACAAAAAAACCCTTACCTACCTATTTGGCTTACTCATGAACAGCTGATATGAAAGGTTAATAGCGTGCCTCTATATGATGAAGTTCCTGACTCTGAAAGTTGTGTTGCATTCACCATTCCATCTCAGAACTACTCCTAGATGCTACCTAACGGTTGCCTAACCACAGTGGTGTATAGGACCCTCAGCAAAGAGATTGTTATTTAGAAACTGTGCAGTGCAGATTACATGTTTTAAGTGTTTTAATGCTCTTATGTTTGTGTTGTAGGTGGGAAGAGATGAAACATTCTTGGCTACTGGATGAGTATAGCAGTCAGCTGTGCTTCTTTCCTGATGAAGTACTTCAGAATTTGTAAGAAATTGTTGGTGGCCCTGGAGAGACCTAATCTATATGAACATGGGTTATAAATAGAATATTGTTACTTCAACTGCCAATTTCACCTTTTGGAAGAGTGGAAGGCCTGATTTGTGGTTCTCCTGCCTACAGAAGTAGGGTCAGAGGTTCAAGTTAAGATTTCCTGCATGCAGATAATATGAATAGAGAATTGAGGGGAGATATTTCCTAGTTACTCTCTGTCAAGGACTTTACCTCTTTCCATATTTTGAAATTCAAATCTTCCCAGTACTACCTTCAGAGATACTAGCGATAGTCTAGCTGCCTGAATTCTAGCAACAAGATACGACTTGATTCAGTTTTACCTGTAGTTAAGCGCTGCCTAGAACAAGAGTTCTCTTTGCTTTTTGCTGGTTGGGGTTAATGCTCCTGTAATTCTGGGCATTAATGGCTGGAAAGCAGGTGAAGAAGGTGCATCTAGGTCATTCATAACAGTTTAAGTAGGCTTTTCCTGTGAACCTCTTGGTTTACTGCACTTACCTGTTTTCACTTGACAGAATCTTATTAACAAAGAACACAGGTACCTGTTGACAGAGTTTTTTCAGTGGCGTTTTTTCTGCCTCAAGCTCTGTGATTTGTTTTCATTACACATAATTAACGTCATTAATTGCTGTTCTAATGAGTTAAAAAAACACCCAGTGAAAGGGTCTCTTAACGTGTGATTTTTTCCACCTTACTGATTTCTTCTGTGGTCTGAGTGTTTCCACAGCAGAGTAGCAGTTTTCTGCAGTGCAATTAGCATAGGGAGGGGATCACTACTCCAGATCTTTGCCTTTTGAGATGTACGGAGATGAATGTTGTTGTTTAGAACTGTGTCTGCCCTGGAGATGAGCTCTGTAGTGCCACAGTGGCTGTGGTGCTGTATTTGATTTGAAGTCTCTTCCATGAATCAGTGATTCATTTTGGACAGTTAAGGTTCCAAGTTACAGTAATAAGATTTAGAATGTTTTCTGTTTTCCCTGTGTAGACACTTGTTCCCTAAACTATGTGTGCACCTGCACAATTTGCAGATGTAATAAAGCAGAGCGGCCATAGGAGGCCTTTTTGTCGGTCTCTTTGATAATGTTTCCTCCTCAACGCTATTTCTCTGCCAGTTCACAGGAACCTGCTCCCTCATTGGGCCTGTCATGCCTCATTCCCTCCTCCCATTTTTTTTCAACAAAGTAAAACAGAGCTTTGTACCATCTGAATGAACTTCAAAGTGGCTAGAAAGGGCACTCGGGGTTCCTGGCACTTGTCATTGTCTCCCAGCCTGGCCAGCATTTCCCTTCAGGTCTAATTACTTCCAAATGTTCCCAGATGCTTTGAAGAAACTCAGAGGGAGGGGGAGGCATGAAAGAATGGTGGAAGAAGAAAAAGGAAACTCAAAGTGGAGGGAGTAGAATGCTGTAGCAAAAAAGATGGTTGATTTCTTATATGACACCCAAACATGAACAGACAGGGAATGTGTGCAGGCACTGGCAGCGGGGAATGCACGAGCACTGTGTACAGCTGCTACTCTAAATAATCCTTTCTGTAGAAAGCAAGCCTTCCTGGAACGTGACAGGCTGTCTATGAAAGACATACTACAGCAAAATGAAAAAGATTAAAGTAATGCTTAAAGCTTATTACTTCAGTGGATTAAGCATGGGCTAAGCCTACCCTCCAGAGTACTATCTGTATCTTGGTTCAGGTGCTATGTCAGGCTTATTCATCTCAGGGAAGCCAGAGGTAGACTGTGGTTAGGGCTGCTTTGCTGAATTTATGCAGAATGTATTTGTGGCCAACAAATAGCCAGAGCTGATGACAGGTGATTATATATTCATGCTAGTGCTGCTTGATGTACTGGATTAGATTAAAAAGTAGTCTGGTTGGTAGAAAATTGCTCTGCACCTTCAGATATATTAGTTTTCTTCTTTGAAGACCACAGGCAACATCAAATACTACTGACTGGCTTAGCTATTTTGATTTTAACAGTTGTGTCAGAGAACTAGCACCACAACTACCACCCGCAAGGACCTGGTATGGGCAAACAGAAGGAAAAATTCAGGGACGCAAATAACGATAACATTATTACTGGAGCAATTTCATCACAGGGATGAGGACTAATGTATGCTCCATCAGGACCTAACTGCTGCTCACAGAAGCAGTTGGGTGCGATTTCACCCAGCAGAGAGGCTAATCAATTTTGGCCCAGATTCTTTTTAGCGATGGCTGGATATGAGCAGCAGCTGCAGGAACAACGTTGGGTTTAACTGGATCCCCAGACTGAACTTTAATGGTTTTAAAATCAAGATACAGCTGGGTTTCTCCAATTATACTCTAATGGGCTGTGCCAGTGGGATGATGTTTCTGGTGAAGAGGTAACATTTTGTCTCTGACTCCTGCAGCCAACTTCATACTGCTGTGTGCTTTACTTAAGTCGGTTCTGCCCAGGCATGTCCCTTGTGTAACACAGTAAAGCATTGAACCCACTGTAAGGTACTCCTGTTTCAAGAAGATGGAAAATTGGTACCTTCAACAGCTAGACCAGAGGTCTTATTCCCCCTCCTCCCCTATGCAAAGAAGAGTTAGTTTTAGCTGCTGCTGTTAAAATAGCACTTTACCACTAACAGTTACATCTGCAATCACCTTCAGGCAAGAAAGCTGGTGTATGGACCAAGTATGTCAGGGAAGTGAACTCATGCCTCTTTAGGGCAGCAGCTTTGACAGATCTGTGTGTCACTAGGAGACAGAACGGATGGGGAGGGTGAGAATTTGAAATCTGGATAAGGCAAGAAATGAGCATCAAGATTCTTTGAGAAGGGCAAGATGTCCTGATATTTAAAACTGCAGGCTTCTCACTAAGGAAGCTGCTACAAGGATTCCTACCCTGCCACTGAACAATACACACACATAAGCTGGATTTGCTTCAATCTTACTTCTGCTATAGTAGCTGAATTCATCCCTTGGGTTGTAGTTGGGCATTCAAAGATAGTATTACCTATATATTTTTTGCTACTGCCTATTATACCAGTATAGTTGTTGGGCTGAATGCTGAACTAGGTCTAGTCTTTCATTGGTTTCATTGTACAGCTGCACAAATAGTTGTCTTGGCAAACAGGCTGCAGTGTAGAGGGACAGGGGGACTGCTTAAGCTGGTACTGTCACCAAAAAGAATGCGCATTAAATTGTGGTTTTAGTTGAAGTTTCCAAGCGGCTGGTACCCTGATTAAGGACCTTGATAGCTCTTGGCTGAAAGAGTACAGTGACCTACTAAGCCTTTGCTTTGCTACAGTTGTCGATTGGAAAAGGAAAAAAAAAATGCTATTAGTAACCATGAAGACTTCAAATAGCCAGCAACAAACGACGTGCAATCTTTAAGACACACTGGTGTCAGCTGCTTTTCCTGTAGCAAGTTGTGTGTATGTCCTGACAAAGCCAGTTCAGTTGTGTGGTTCCTGCCTACATGTGTAAGGTTTCTTATTTCACAGTTCCCCCACCCTGCTGGCTGAGGGGCCGGCCTGTACCATGATGTGGGATTCTCACACATGCTGTTTGTTATTCTGTCCTTTTTCCTTTCGTCCTACAAAGATTTAGAAAAGAGGGTGGGTGTGTGTATGTGGAAACTGTGCAAGTCTTTGAAGCAATTTGACTTTCAATGATTAATTGCAGCAAAGAGCCTGCACAAGGGAAGGAGACTTGGCTTTGATTTATTGATGTTTCTTTGTGAGAACAAATTTATAGCAGAGGGAAGCAGCTTCTGAGGAGAATATCAAATAGTTAAAAGGTTCCAAGCATTCTTTGATGTCTCAGCCCTGAAGAAATACTGGAAGGTATTGAGAAACACACACTGTTTATTTATAAAATAAAGATCAGATACCTGCTTTTGGCAAGAGCCTGTAACTGAGCTTCTGTTAACAAACCATTCATTAGACAGGCTTGGAGCTGGACCTAAAGTTTCTGCCACAGTTGCCTGCTGAGGCAATGAGAGCCTGCAGTTGGGATGACATTTCCAGCCATTATGTCTTGCCTTGCATCTTGGTGAAGCAGCACCTGTTTCTCACGTCAGCTGAAAAAGCAACACCATCTTACCCATGCTGTGGAGAACAGGCTACTGTTGCAGGAATAAGGCAGCAAGATGGAAACCTGTTACATACTTAAGTCTACCAAAGCAAATGTGGCAGCCTCCTCTCAAAAATAGCATCTGACAGTGTAGTGCCTCAGGCTTTGTCTTGCTTGGTAAAGGAGGGAGGAAACAGAAACAATATGGCAGAGAAAGAAGAAAGTGACGCTGTTCTTCCTAGAGCTAAACTCTGAGGATAACGATCCAGATGTTGACTGTCAGATCGAGATCTTCTGCTGACAGCTGGCACGTCACATTTGCTTCGTCAGGTCTCTAGAAGTCTAGAAGCTGTAAGGAGGGAGCAGAGGCTGCTTTAGTTTCCAAAGGGAGCAAGCCAGTCACCACATCTGCTGGGTCCCCAGCAGCCCCATAAGGATATTACTGACTAGCCAAACATCTCCTGAAAGGAAGGGGATTAAGCTGCTTCAGCCCACATCCTTATCCTGTTAACGGGAGGATCTGAACTGTATTTTACATACCAGCTGTGGCAGCACTTTCTCCACATGTTCGATATCCACTTTCTCCAGGTCCTCTGCCTGAGCCTGCCGTGCTGCTCGCGCAGCTGCTTCTGCAATGCAAGTGAAAGGAAAGCGTTACAGGCGGTCACGATGAGGTGTCGGTGTCTGGTTTCGGGGGGGCAGACGCGATCCCGTGAGATAAAAACGCCCAGCTCCCTGGAGCAGCGGCCGTTCACCAGCGCTGTGCCCAGCGTCGGCGTCCTCGGAGTGAAGGGGGCCGGTCCG